CACGTGTCTTGTTTTACCTTTCCTCAGCCTCCTCAGTATAACATCTGAGGGTCCAGCAACACCAGTCTGGAGTTAATCGAGACGGGTGAAGGACCTGCCGCAAAGAGGCGATGGTGGCATGTTGGTTGGTGGTTATGTTGCCCATCTCTGGACTTTTCTATCCTGCGATGGGGTCCTGGCCACACTTCTGCATCCCACGTACCTAATCCCTGATAAAATACGTAATAGAGGTGTTCTGACTCAAAATAGCCCTGACAGCCGGTGAGACGTAAATACCTATTCGGTATTACAGCCCGTCGGACAAACAAACCGCCGCCCACCAAATTCGCGGACAATGCTTCTGCTCAATCGCGGTATGTGTGTGGGAATAGTAATGTGCAATCGGTTGGATGCGGAGCTTGGACACACACACCAGCCCAGAAGCTGCCCAGCTCGACGTTCCGGCCGGCATCTACACCGGCGGCGGGCCGGCGGACGAGACACGCCGGCCGCCAAATAAAGAACGCATTCACGCGCGCGCCGTCCCTCGTCCGAGAACGGAACCCCGCCACTCACGCACGAGGCCGGTCGGTGGGGCGGCCTGTCCACAGTCCAAACGCTACCAGCTCAGTCGGGCGTGCATCAGAGCAGAGTTGGGCGCCATCTTTGCATCAGAGCCCGAGACCCCTGACTCGGTTTCACTCGGTTCCCCGCGGAACACATTCCGGCGGACCGGACATCCGGACATGCTGGACATCCCGGCGGTCCGGACATCCGGACATGTTGGACATCCCGCTCGTGCTAGACCAAATCCCCCCACCCCTCCTCCTTTTGGACAGGTGCCATCTTGTCAGTCAAGGGGCCAGCACCGGATAGGGTCCCTCTGTCAGCTTTCTCTAGGGCCCAAACGCGTCGAACTGGCATTCCTGTGCCATTTATTAAGCCAGCTACGCTTGGGACCTTTCTGCGTCGGTGGCCCTGGCCCTGCGTCAACCTGGCCCTGGCCCTGGCCCCGGTCCTGGCCCTGGCCCTGCGTCAATCAAGGATGAACCGTCCCGGTCAGACGGCTCTCGGCGTTAGAAAAGGGACCAATGTATCATGTGTATCACTAGTAACCAGAAGGAAAGCAGAAAGAGGACGGGAATGCCCTTCAGCCCAAATCGGGAAAATCATGGGGTCTCAAGTCTTGGCTTAAGACTTTATTGCGTCTGGCTGTTGAAGAGAGGGATAATGGCGAGGAGTGCAGAAACCCCTGGGAAGAGCTCGTTTTGGAACAGTGAAATTGATTTAGAAAAATGACCACACTGAATGAGAGTAGCAAAAATTTAATAGTGCTGAATAGAGGTTCAGACAACACCGTAGCATCGTGTAGTGGCCCAGGACGCACGACCTGCTAGGCTCCTGGACCCCCCTCTGGCCGCTTAGTCGGGGCTTCCTGACCGCCAAGGGTACACTGGTATTTAAGGGCCCTTAAAGCTGCTTATATTTATGTTACCCTTCCAACTATTGGCAATAAGGGAACCGGGAAAATACTCGTATACTCCTGTCGCTCACGGGCCGCATTCACCGCTCAGGTACCTCCAGTGGCGCACACAGATGTACAGGGACACGTGCCCCGCCCCCTCCCCCTCTCCTCCGTCTTAGGTCTCTGGAGACAGACCATCAAAGACCCGATTCGTGGCTACGAACGGCCCGAAGGGCTCGGCGGAGATCGTATTTTGCATCCCGGCCCTGCGTCCCGGGCCCTCAATGCCTGTCAGAGGGTCCTTTGCGCCACCCGCGGGCCTCCGGAGTCGATGAGGGCCTCCACGTCGATCAGGCACTACCAAAACCGCACAGTCCCAAGCAGGGACAAGACCGAGCCCGTGACTTTCACTGCTCGAGGCCCCTGAAACAATGAAAGGCACTTTGTTGGATTGGGCCAGTGCGCTTATCAGTGCGCTCTGTGTTGGCAAGGGCGGAGAGCACCGGAACATTGCCTGTAAGAACGTATGCGTATGATCGCCGTCGCCTGTCAGTGACGGGCATCTGTAATACGTAAGTGCCGATGTCTGTTTTGCGATACGTATGTAGTATATCTTTGCGCTTAAACGGTATTACAAAAACTAATATTTGTAGGTATAGGACCCATGTAAGAACAGGCACAAGACAATTTCAGGTTAACGAACGTACCATGATATCGATTTTATCATACACCGTCTTTCCAGAAAATAACCAATGAAGGATGAAACGTTGAGAAATATAACTAATAACCGGTCATGAAATGTGACAACCTATATCTTCTTTGTATCATGAACTGTGGTGCCATCTTCCAACGACCAGCGAGAAGAAGCGAAAGCTGTCATCAGATTTATTCAGAAAACATCCGAAACGATCGTTAATGCTATGTCCGGTGTGGTCTTTAACAAAACATGCAAAAAGATCAATTTTCTTCGTAATTTGATTATACATACTCAAGTGTATTTGGCTAATCAATGGGCATACGGCGAAGTCATAAATCAGATTTCGGCCAAGCGGCGGTCAAGAATCGGCCTAAGACTAAGGGCCATTGAGGCTTAAGTCGATTGTATTTGTTATAGAACATTAGCTCCAGTGCGTGTCCACGTTCACGAAGGACCGCCTCTTGCCGGGGCAATGGGAATACGCCTTCAAAAATAATTGCATCTTAAAAAACACTCACACGCAATGCTTACCTGCATTTTATATACTTTCGTGATTAATGACAAGTTATTTAGGTGCATGTTATCTTGAAGATGACAGCACATCGTGCAATATTCTGATTCTTGTGAAGATTGTCTAGCCTCCGGAATATCTGGCCGAGTTATGACCTGTGGGATATAACGGGAGACTTTTGGTGCCCACAAATCGGAGGGAAAAAGTGTGAATTTATGTAATGTTACGCTCAGGAAATATGTGGTTGATAGCAATATCCCTTTTGCATGTGCGTTTCAGTACCTAGCTCGCTGTATGTCTTAACCTTCGCCGTCATTCGCCGTTTTACATAACTCAGACTGATAGGGGGAAAGTGGGTTGATGCGACCCTCCCCCTGGCGTTTCCAAAGTTATAAAGATAGAGCTTAGCCGAGAACACCAGTATATTGTTCCGAACACGATCTCACGATTGGTGCTAGTTTGTATGTTGATGGCAGGTCAAAGGTCGAATTTACCCGAACACCGCACTTTATGTTTGTCCAATTCTGAGTACATTCTGCAGTATAACTATGTTGCTGCCTGGCGCCCGAGGCAGCTGTAGATCGCCGTGGCGTGTTCATTACAAACTGCCGCTATTCCGAAACCACAAAATGTAGGAGCACGTTTTGGTATCAATACACATGCCATAATCCCCGCCCATCATGGCGACGGTTGAACGTCATGTTATTATTTCGTCGGGTGTCGGCAACGATTTTTGTGTGAAATAACTGAAGCCATGGCGGACAATACAGGAAAACGATGCTTGCTTGCTTCCATATTTGCTTGCTCCTGGCTTGACCTCACGCTGAGTCCGCCCTCAAAGACAAACTCCCTCGCAACAAGCTGTGATCTTGCCGTGGACAGGCGCCAAAAAGTTCGAATGTCCGCAAAAATTTTCCGAACAACTAGAACATCTTTATTGACGCGCCAGGATGTTCGCACGCCCTTGGCGACAGGCAGATTGGGGCGAATAAAAATGGCGCGAATGACTACATGATCAACCAAGGCAACCGATCGCTGTCTGCGTACGACGGACTGCAGTGAACGCATAAAACAGAGAGGAATATGACAGTGGTGAGGGCATGTAATTTGGATATGATCATAACAGTTTTAACCCACCTCCCCCCGGGTGGCCGGCTAGGTACACTTCGCTCAGGTAGGGGTCAATTTGATTCCGCTGAGATCTCGGGAACTAAGAAAGCTAGTGACACCAAATTTCCAAGGTGTGTCGACCTCTACGTGAACTCGCTTAGGTCAAAAGTTGAGGTTCCTAAGCCATGGCCTTCTGGTCAAATAAGATCAAACGAGTTTAAATGCCAGGTTGGTCTCCGAAGTGCCCCCCCCCCCCCCCCAGAACCTAGCCAACTGTTTCTCAGCAAAAGGTCTCATGCTCATTTACGGTCAGCGACTTTGTTTTCCCTTTTGGAGGCCATGGTGACCAAAATCATACAAGACTTCTCCGAGTTTTGCATGTGAATAAGCGACAAAGATTACGCTAGGCAGTATGTCTCTAAAAAAAAAATGTTGACCTCGTCATGTTAGGCCAACGACCTCTTTTTTGACCTATAAAAAGTCCGCAGAGAAGTATAATGCGGTTCCTGCTATCAATAAATTCGACATGAGCACCAGAAACTACCCCTTGCATCAAGCCCTAGGGTAATAAAACAGGTTGGGTTTGACCTTGGTCTGACCTTCATACCTGACCTGTGTCAACGTTATTTGCTCATTCAATACTCGTGCTGCCTAAGAGAGCATCTAATAGATGTATGGCTTCGTCTAACACTCCGCTGTTGCATCAGATTAAGGGATTCTCTGGAAATCGACTTCGCTGAAACCATGGCCTGACTTTGACCTGCCATAGGTCAGCGACCTCACAAGGTACATCTAAATTTCTTAAACCAAACGATTTGCTATTCAATGGTTGACAGTTACGCAACATTTGGCGCGGTTGCCCCGCACCTTTCGGAAACCATTCTGGAAAAACCTTCGGGGGACAATTCCACCCCTCCCCCGAACGTGGGTTAAATGTGTTCAGCTCCTTTCATCGTTTTACTAGGTCTTTGGTAATGAATGTCGGAACACACAGTGGACTTACGGCAAGCCCAGTGTGTGGGACATGCAGGGGGGGATCTAGTCTGGATTTTTTTTTGGGGGGGGGGGGGTAACCGTTCGTCGCCAGGTGGCTGGTGTGGGATCCGAGGTCCAGTGCATGGTGCCTCTCGCGAGTACCTAGTAGGGACATTATTCAGGCGCCGAAGTGCTTTTGAATCTTCTATATACAGTATGCATGTTTACAAAGCTCGTAACATAAGATATTACTTTCAAGAGTCAACTGGGCAAATGGGGTTTATTGCAAATGGCGATCAGGGTGACAAACGGTGAGACAGGGTGATGAGGCCGGACAAAGGATGATTCTAGTGGCTATGTAGCGTAGCGGCAGCTGTGGAGCGGCTGTGGCGGGCGAGCATACCGGTGAGCCGCGCTGTGGAACGAGATGAATGATGAGTCAGTCAGGAGTCAGGACGCAATGTTAATTTAAGGAGAATTAAGGGTTGACGTAACATTTAAATGATATTGGTGGCGGAAGACAGCGTAAGCGTGAGCGACCACTGCTGCTGTCGGAGATAAGACCAATGTAGGAAGTTTGGTAATATACGCAGGACTGTTTTGCAAGGGCCAACGGCGTGAGGACACAAAGTGAGGAAAAAAGCCCTTAGTGGAAGTACTGATAAACGCCACAAAGCTATAACGAGAACCTTTAAGTATTCACCGCATCAATTTCGCGCACAATTGTGATGGGTAATATTTTCTGTTTGGCACCTTTAACACAGCATATGTTAACTAAACATTGTGTATGAGTATAAAAGGCAGAAGAGACAAATCGAGGCAAAATTTTACTCATAATCGACAATATAGCATCTTCAGTGCATGATGTGTGTTCCGTTCTGATCGCTCATATCAATTCACTTTCAATCCAGACGCATCAGTCGGTTGACGCTGCAGTTTCGTGGTCAAATCGGGCCAGGGAGACAACACGCACGTCCTCTCCCGGCGTCACTCTGAGAATCAACTGTCTATCGTTCCGTAGCCGGCCCCGGCCACCCCGCATGGCAGTCACATGTGGGGTTCGGCTGGTGGGAAGGGACGGGCGGCAAGAATGATAAAACAGGCCATCAATATAGAGGGTCGTGACAGGTCTAGCGCTAGGGTGAAATAAACAAATTAAGAGGAGAGACAGGCATCACCGACATTTCACAAAACTACGGAAAATATAGGAATCAGGGCAGATTTGTCCGCAACATTGGGAATTTGGATATTCTGGAATAATGATAAGATTAATTAAATGCTTATTAAATATAACTCACGCCGGGGCCTACAGCAGATGCGAAAGCTTCGCTCAACGAGCGCCAGACTTGGCGAAGAAGTCCGCAACTTCCTTCGAGGCTGGGAGAAGGTCACGGTGCGTCTGGCACATCACCAACGCCTCCAGGCGCTCCTCACCCATCGTCGCGCGGACCTCGGTCAGCGTCCAGGCGACCTCACTGAAGGGCCGCTCGGCCTCCGCAGCGGACACCGGCAGAACCGCTAGGATCTAATGAGAGATATTAGAGAAATGTGATGGTGATTGGTGATCCAGTAGGATTATTCTTTCTCATGAAAAAATTCCCTCGGGAAAATGATCGTGCTAATTATGAAATAAACGGCAATAATATATTACAATCTGATAATAAATGACATAGTATTGGCATCAATTGGGTAACTGAAACAGACCAAATAATTCTGCAAATTTAATGAAAGTGTTAGGTATTTGGCACCTGCTAATATTTCAGGTATACACATATTAATATAGTAGACGTAACATGACCTAGTCATCGACGCACCCTTAATACCCAATAAAGAAACGAATAGATTATCCTATAATCACGGCATAATCATGTCTGAAGACACCAGTACCATCGAATCCATAACCAACGCGTTGCCCATTCGAGTGTTCAGATTTTAACTACCTTCTTCTGCACTGTTCTTTATTATTTTGATACGGGCATTCGACCTCTATTGCGATCTTTCCTAACTGGTATGGCATCAATTAGAAAAATCAGGAAAATGTGACATTTTAAAAACGATACAACACAATACTATTGAAAAACTTCGCATACAACGGACCTATACAGTGTCGTAACGCATAAAAAGATAAAGAGCAAGAAGATCAGGGTATATCTCAGCTAAGCAATTTAATCTATGCATATTGAGGAAAGTAGTATTGAGTTCAGTGCCAGGCGGCGGAGTGCGATGGACTAGAGCAGTGCGTGTATGTGAATGGACTACTGGCTTTGGTGGCGTTGGGTGGAAGCTGAAAATGCTAACCCGGAGCAGGCGGTGGATGGTCGGGAAGGTTACAGGGTCGCAGTGGTCCAGCGCTGCTACCGCGGAGTCAGGTACCACTTTGTCCGGGCTGCGTCGCCACATGGCCGACCAGACCTGAAGCTCGGCCTTCGTGTCACACTCGAAGGTCTGAGGAAGAGCCGGTGGGTAGGGCTCCCAGCCTGGACGGATGTCCTCCATGTCACGCCGGTCACCCTCGTTGGCAGAATGCCGGACAGCGAGAACACCTGGCGGTGGTGCGTCTGTCGTGGAGCCTCAGCTCGCTGTCCAGCATCACCAGTGCCTGTGTGGTCGCTGCCGAACCTCTCCTCCATGTCCTGCTGCACTGCGTCAATGGCTGGGAAGTACACGTTCACGCGGAAGTAGCAGGTGACGCCCAGGTCGTCACCCGCGTTCGCTCTGAAGGTAGAGCGGTGCGCAGGGATACGCGGCCTCTCGATGCTTGTGTCCAGCTCTTCTGCCATTATCTGCGCTTCGGCCATCAGCTCATCGAACGAAGACTCAGTGGGCAGGTCCGTGAGTGTACTGATGGTGGTCCTCGCCAAGCCGAGCGTCTGGATCAGATCTGCACCCGCTCGCTGTAGCTTGAGGGATACTGGTCGCAGCAGACTGCCCAGCGCCTTCATGGTCACGATGGCCACCCGGAAGTCCAAAGCCGCCATGGTCTTCAGGAGCATGTTTGCCTCTGATCTGGTGATTGCGCCGGTCCAGTCGGTCATGAGACGCAGGGCGTCCGCGATGGCTGCGAACCGTTCACAGAAGCGATGAACGGACGTGTAACGCTCAACAAAGCGAGTCTCGCATAGCTTGATGAGGCGCTGTTGGCTCCGACCTGTTGTCTTCTGTGCCTGCTGCAGCACCACGGAGCGCTTGGCGCCGTCGGTCACGAAAACTATGACTGTCTCCATCGTTCCCTGTGCTTTTCTCACCGCACGAACCGAGCACATCTTGGATGCGGCGAGGTTAAGGCCGTGCATCGCGCAGTGGTGGTAGTGGGCCAGGGGTGCCTCTCGCTGGACATGGGTCGCCACGCCGGCCTTCATGCTGGACATGGCGGTAGCACCGTCGTAACACTGCGTGATGAGGCACTTCTGTCCAGGTGGAGGCGGTCCACAGCTTCGAGTACAACTTTTGCCGGGTTTTGACCGGACAGCTTGACCTCGCCCCTCCGTTTCTGCGGCGTTCAGCTTCGGGAAGACATCTGCGAGGCTGACCGGGTCCTCGCGCAGCACGTTTTTCCCATCCTTTTGGTCCAAGTACCTCACCGCAGGTAAGCCCTGTCTGAAGTCTCATCGGCGATTATAGCTCACAGCGGCGAGGCAGCGACTTTTGCTGACACCGCGTCCCGTAGCAGCCGAAGCAGATCCTCTCGAAGCTCGTTCTGAACCGTTTTGCTAGTGTAAAGTGTAGCACTGCCGGTCCACTTCAGATGCTTTTGCAGCTCCGTGTCGCCACTCTGCAGTCTGAACCGCAGCAACATCCGAAAATTCCCGTCGTTAGATGCGGGGTACACTCCAGACGGATCGATACGCCCGTCGTCTCGATGACCCCTCAGTGGGTGTTTTGCATGACAGCAAACTTCACTGTGTCCACAATGCTGCCCAGGGCCGCTCGGGTGCGTTGTATCTGACGACTGTTAGCGGAAGTCGGCATGGTCGAGACGGGTTCGTCGTTCGCAACGGTTCGCAGGAAATCTGCGGCGGCGGCGAATGACTTTTCGTAGTGCCCATTTCGGTTGTACACGCTGAGAGCGTCTGTCATCCCAGTTATGTCGGAGAAGTCCCGCAGTGGAAGAGCTACCAACCTGCCCACGGGCTGGTTCTCGGTACCAGACCTGCCGCCTGCCTCCGACGCCGTTGCAAACAGCACGCAGGACGCGCACCATGCCACCCCCCCCCCTTCCCCCCCCCCCAATGTTCCGGATGCCGCGAGATAGCCAGCTATGAAAACGTGTCGAAGTGCGTGTCGTTGGCTCGTCGGGCGCGCAGCTGCCCCCCACGCCGGTGTTCAGAAGTTGGGAAGTCGCTCCTTGTTAAAGGTTTCCATCGCTGTTTTAGGGCAGCCTTGATCGCTGCGCTACCGAGCTTTCTCCCCGCTCGTTTTTTTAGCGACAACGTCTCCGAAATCCACTGGGCGGACCATCGCAGGCGTGGGAGTGGGAATGGTCTCTACCAACTCTGCTGCTGGCACCGCAGTCTTGGCTTGTGGCATTTCACCTCCGTTTGGTGCGGGCGACGGCGTGCTAGATGGGCTTGAAAGCGCAGATGGAGCGCATACCTTGCTCGTCTGTGCCACTGTCGACGTGGCTGTTGACGCTGCAGGTTTATCTTGCACTACCTGGCCTGGTAATGGAACAGGTGCAGCGGGTGGGGTGGATGAGCTGGAGGACGTCGAAGGCTTGGTGGATGGAGGACATGCTGCAAATGAGGAAATAAGGCGATGGAGATGCCATGTTTCTTTTACATTTGGATGAGGGTATGAGTAGTCGTGACTGGCCAGTGCAAAAGAAAGGAAGGTACAAGTTGAAAATAATCAACAACTTATTATTGTCAAGCGTGTTCATGCAAAGTTAATGACATGTCCGATGAAAGTACACCTCATAATCCTCAGAAGAAGAAATAATGAAATCAAAGGACTGTGGTAAATTGAATTCTTGGCAGTTAAATCACACAGCATAAGTCATACTCAAAGCAGTGTCAAATACCTCCTGTTTATATGTTAGCTTTCAACCAAACCTATCAGTTCTGACTCATGAGATGTCTGTGAAGTGTGGGCGCAATTATTATTATCATTATCATTTTGGAAAACAGTGCACCTACTCCGCTAACCTGCGGGGTACAGCTCCTTCAATCTCCTTGTAGGTGGTATGCGTGTGTTGTCTGGATCATGCTGGGAAAGAGCAGTCAAACATAAGGATAAGTAGGAATATTGGAAAAAGGGTTAGCTTTCACCGAATTACACTCTGGTGTTTATGCTAAGACCTTACTGAAAATGAATGATGATTTGAGATAAAGGCCTTGCAACAGAACTTCTGCTGCCAGAACTAGTTACTGCTCTTACAAAGGAAATTAATGTTTACAAAAAAAAGAGCTGTGGTGGAGTTAACATTTCTAGAGATTGTTTTGATGTGGATACTGAGAACCTTTTTAATAAATACATGGACAATTAGAGTCATTGGTAGAGTGGCTGATGATCAGCAAAACTTTTCTCAATTTGGCTCAAGATAGTAAGCTGCATTTAAAATTGAATTATCCACATTCCCTTTTTCATTTTCTGTTAAATCATCACACATAAGACAAAAACTATTGCACTTAAACACCTTAACAGGGTAAAAAGTGTATGCATCAAGACAGCTACATCAATGACTCAGGAAGGCTCAATAATGTAAGGTGTCCATTTGGTCATGCTTTATCTGGCCTAAGCTTCAACATTTGCCAGCACCCAGATGTATATATATATATAAATCATGTAAGTGATGATTCCAGAATAATTTATTGCATATGTGCTACCAACAATGTTGACAGGCACTAACTACACACAATGCACCATTGCTGCCTATCCACCTTCCCCTTAAAGAATTACCTGATGTCAGTTATTGACATTGCAGTGTAGATTCAGGAAGATTCAGTAGCCAGAATTCATGAATCAGGATTCAAGATAGTGATGTCCCTAAAATAAAAAAGAGGTCAAGGGTTAGAAGAGATGCTTAAAATATAGAAAATAGATATTTCATCAGATTGAGGCCACTAGAAATTGGGTTAATGATGCATGCACATTAAAGTATGGTTAAAGTGGAATATAGGAAAAATTGTAGCCACTATCCTTATTCTGACTTCATATTGCAATAAGCAGCAACCATAGGCATGGAAAAGGGGATCATTTGTCATAGGAGATTTGAACATTTCATCCATTCTGGCTAAAACTATCATTTTTCTTTCAAAAATAAAACAAAAGATGGCAGATAATTTGGCAAGGCAATACACCACAATATGCAATCAGATTTATCAAAGAGTGATAAGCTTTGCCTCAAGTTGAAATCAAGGTTGCATACACACACAACCTCATACACTTTCACATTATGTCTGGCTGTGCCTATTACACTTAGGCAGATGAAATTGGTCAAGTAGCATTAGCCATTTATTGCTCACTGCAACCACAGGAAAATCCAGAACAGGCTATTTGGTGCATGGGTGGACAATGTGGTATGACAGGTGTGGTTGGTACTACAACATTTTGTGTTATTGCCACTGCTGGCCTCACCAACAGGTACCTACTTAAAAGTAGGTAGGTATCTAAATCAATACGCTTTGGCCACACAAACTTTCGAAACCATCCCCCACCCATGACTGGAAGCACACCAATATCCTGGTGTATTGGGGGGGGGGGGGGGCATTACCCCAAAGACCCCAAAAACAACCTACCATGAAATGAAATACAAATGTGCATTGCCCATACCAGTGATATTGACCTCTTCATTCATTAGCTAATCTGTTTATATTTCTTTCAGTATCATCAGGCTTCAGGAAATCATTGTACAAAGTTGTGTTGCACCAACTGTGGGTGTTTTTTTAGGTTTTGCTCCATTCCATTAACATACCCCCAGATGTCTGGATTAGGATGATGGATCATCCCATGACCACAACACACATACTCCATGTCAAGGACCCAGACATTCATAAACTTTAACTCCATTTATTTATAATTACTTTCCCACTGAAAAATGGGTACCTATCCACCTACCAACAGGCCACACACTACAATACAAATGCACAAACTGAGATAGGTACACAGATCAAGAAGAAGGCTGGTCATGTTCTTTAGTGGGAGGGTTAACAAGGGCTGAGATGATTAAAAACGTTTTCTGGTTCTTGAACGGTCCTCGTACAACGCTAACGCTCAGCAGTTCAATCACCCACGTGCTAACCAAACACGATGTTTGCGCGGAGTATGACTAAGTCGCGTCAACATGCGTTCTGTTTTGACATTCGAGTCGCTGCCAAATTTTCTTCATGAAGTTTTTTTCCGAAACGGAAATAAATGTTTGATGCTGCATAATCAAAGTTAAACAGACGGTACGTAGACGAAACTTTTACGAAGTTCTGGAATTTTTTTGGGCCAAAACATACACTCAGAGCTTTTTGAGCGACCATGGCCCCGTGCCCCCATCCCAGGATTCGCCTATGGGGGCATGCTACAAATGATCTTGAAACGGGAGACGCAATAGGGCAGGCGCTGGACGACTTGCAGCCGATCGCATATAGCAACACTGCAAAAAATGCATGGAAAAAAGCGTCATGAAAAGTTATCATGTTATTGTCGGTATTTAGCGGATACGTGGTTAGTGGGCAGCAGGGTGGCGGCAGGGTCTGCCATTTAATTTAATTTTCCACCATTTCAGGCGCAGGCAGGTTTCTCTGATGCATGTCTTGGTTCGGATAGCAGCGTTCTGTGCATTTGTTTTACTCCTCACATTTTTCTTATCTCCGTCATATATTGCCGGGCTGGATATATGCATATATATATATATATATATATATATATATATATATATATATATATATATATATATATATATATGCATAACGGGCTACATGTATAACCCAGACCTAGAGTACAAAGGTGTGAATTCATGTCATGCAATGCTCAGAAAGATATGTTGTTGATGGTGATATCCTTTCTGCATATGTTTTGTCGTACGTATATGTAAGTAACTTCGATCGCTGTCTTACACATTATGTTATTGGCGCGTGAAATACAGGCAATGATGTTCGTGAAAAATTATCCCTATTTTGGCGATAATTGTAGCCATGTGAGGCACGAATGGCTGCTTCCTTCCATATCTACTTGCCCCTTGTTTCATCTCACACTGAGCCCGCCTCCGAAAACAAACTCCCTCGCAACAAGTCGTGATCCGTCTGGGGTGCGGTGCTGGACGACTGCGGTGCTTGAGAAACTCAAAGCGAGAAATGTGCCGCCCCAAACAACTATGCATGTCATCAAAACATTTTTATCCACGCGCCAAACTTCATGCGCTTGAACACAGACAGGTTA